GGAGAGATGGGGGGGTTTCTAGAATACAAAAAGATGGATTTATAATACTCGCATACACACACATCTACCTCTATGTCTGTATATTTACAGTGATATCTCATTACACTTTATTGTTACTTGGAGGGGAATATACTGTGTGTGTGTCATGTGTTTCTAGGTGTGTGTCCATGTTCATGTGTATCAGGCTGTTGGTGTGTATGCTGGTATGCCTGTGTGTGCCTGTCTGTGGTTTTCAAAATAGTTCTGGAGGTTGCATGCTAGGAAAGTGCTCCCCCTCCAAGCTGAATCCTCAGTTCACCTTCACCCTGTGTTTTTGACAGTGTCACTAAGTTGGGCAAGCATCCTGAAACTCACACTGAAGTCCCCTCAGGCCTTGAATTTGCAATCCTCCTGCAAATCCTCTGAGCCTCCAGAGTAGTTGGGATCCCAGACTTGTACCAGGAATGGGAGGTTGGCTTACTTCTGCATTTTTCAGGGCCCTCAATGACTGTGCTCTCTGTTTAAGTAGCAGCCTGCTGTCAGCTGGGCCCTGGCATGGATCGACAGCCACTGGCACGGAACCATGATGACTACCGGAAAGCTACTGATGGTATAGCCACCCACTAATGGGTTTGGGACAAAGAGCAAGGGGGGAAAATGGAAGGAAGGCTTGCAGTCAAGAGAATGCTTTAGAAGTAACACTTAGGGATGTCTGAGTGGAAAGGAGGGGAACAGTGGAGAGGGACAGAAATATTGCTGAGAAAATGAGGGGAGGTGCTGGGAGAAGGTGCTGGGAGAAGGTGCTGGGAGAAGGTGAGGATCTTGAGTCAAGAAAGCAGGGAAAGGACACGAAATGGATGCTGATAGCTCCTCTGCCCAGGACCTGTTCTTCAACCCTAGTTGGCTAATTCCATAAGCTATAGGACTACCACTCAGAATAATTTCCATTACTCCAACAACACAGGAAGGGGCACAAACTGCTTAGAAAAGTAACCAATGCTTCATGGGGCTGATAGCCCAAAGCACACGTGTGAATGCTCACTTCCTTCTGGGTACCAAGAACCAAGCTTAGGCCAGGAAGTGGCCTCCACCTTTGAAAGGCTCAGGATGTATTTGGGACATAGAGGATTGACACTTTAAAACCTGTCGGCTTGCCTAGCCTGGACCTTCACCACACCCCACACTCCCCATTTCATTTCTACTTTATCCCTCTCCTGATGCTCACAGGCATGTCATAGAAAAGAATGAGGCCAGGCAGGACAGTTCCTTCCTTGCCTAAGGTCACACAGTTTAAAATTACTAGAATCAGGACTTGAACCCAGCATCATCTGACACCAATTTCCCAGCAGGAACCCTCTATGCCATGTCTTGATAGCCTGTGCTCTGACCTCTGACTTGGGCATCTTTAACTTTGAAATACGGCTTGGCCTGTCCTCTGCTGACTCACTTTTACCTTAGCTGATCAAACCAGCCAACCTTACAACTCAGCCTAAACGATCCTCTGGCTCCCACCCCCAGCTGGACACCAGTCTTTCTGATGCTTCCTCTGTCCTAGTTGTCCTCAGGCCACTCATATGTCTCCTATGACAGAACAGTTTAGGAAGGGAAGCAGGACATGAGTCCAAGGGTTGGGAAGGAGGCGTTTCAAGGTGGAATGGGCATCATGGCTTTTGATGGGCTATATATAGTCACTGGTGGCAGGGGAGGTCCCTGTGGAGGAGACAACTGGAGAACTTAGAGTGGGCTGTGTTGAATGTACTGGGAGGTCACTGACCTGCGCATGGAGAAAAGCAGGGCCAAGTTCTAGCAAGTGCCTGGTTGAAGCCAGACAGCAGGAATGCGATGCCGGCCAGGCCCAGGCTTGCAAAAAAATGCCAACTTAGATTCAGTTTTTATTGTTTATTTCTAAAACAAATGTTTGCTTTACCTTTGTAGTTGTAGAGTTTTTAGGAACATGGAAAAGAATGGCTTTGTTTGGGGTGTAGAAATATGCTTTGGGCCTTGGAGGCCCTTGCATGCCATGGTCTGCATCCTTGAATTTGCAGGTGTCTATGGTCTTCTAGTCACACCCACAAAGGACCTGCCCTCAACCTGGGTCCTCCTTGTCTGTGGCCAAACCTGATCTTCTCCTTCCCCTCCATCCCAGGACCTCA